CAGAATACTAAATGGTTTTCACCAAATGCATCAACCACTTCTACAATAACTCAAAACATATCCCTTAAATCAAGGATAAAGACTTCTACCTAAAACATTGACTAAATGTAACCATTGGCAGCCCCATGCTGTCCATTTTCTACTGTCGTTTTTATTATTATGCTGTCATGTTGTAATTTCCACATGCAGTTCACATTTGCTTTTCATTTTTTGTTGGGAGTATAATTCCTGAGTGCGTTGAGAGAAGTGCATAAGATTTCATGTGAAAAAAGAAAAAAGAAAAAAATAAGGTGTTAGAATAGAATATATAGATTGGAGGCTTATAAACTCAATAAATATGTTTTTTAAATTTGGTATAATGTTTTTTCATATGTGTTCGTACTCTTTTATATATATGCTTCCAAGTTCCAAACTACCCCGTTACACTCTCCCAACACTTTCATAGCATTTGCATTAGACCTGACAAATTTTTACTCAACTCGTTAACTCGCTCATTATCCACTCGTTTAAAACGGGTTAAAGTCATATATTTATGACCCGTGACCTGTTAAGAGAACCCAACGAGTCACGAGTCAATAATGGGTTAACTTATCGGGTTAACAAGTTTGACCCGTTTACCCGTTTAAAAATATAAAATTTTTTAATTTATTATTTATTTGTTTTGTTTTTCAATTCCCAATCCCACCTAAACTTCTAATAATTGACTAATATTCTCTAATTAACTAATTGATTCTTTTGACTTATCATCTTCTAGAAGTAAAAATAATCTCACTCCACCCATAACTCACTTTCCGACCTTTCCTATTCTTGCTTGCCCTTCAAACTTTTCTCATATTCTTCAACCTCCATAGTTCATATAGCATTTGACTTTCAAGCTTTGACTCCACCTTTTCTCTTTAATTTTTAACATTACTTCATACTTAAATTTTAGTTTTATTGAATTACCGTTGCGTCCACTCAACCTTTTCTTTTTTTTCTCCTATGAGTCCGGTAAGTGCTTTTTTTGTCACCAACTTTTCTTTCTAAATACTTCAAGGTAAGTTGTTTACTTATTTATACTTTTTAGTTTTCTTTCCATTCAAAGTAAAAATTTTACTTGATACCCATGAACGGGTGGATGAGTTAGTTGGGACTCTTCCAGCTTAACCAGAGGTCTTGAGTTCAAGTCCTGGGAATACAACTCCGTTAAAACTCATGAAGGAGAGCTTTGCCGCCCATTGGGTCCTGCCCGGCTCGAATCTGGATTAGTCAGTGGCTCAATGGGCTTCTGGATATCGGATGGTCGTACAAAAAAAAAAAAATTTTTACTTGATTTTCTCCTTTACTTACTTAGATGTATTCAATTGATTATTCTTAAAAAGCAATGACCAAGACAAATATGTTCCAATGAGATCTGTGTTTTTTGGTTATCATGTTACTACTACTTTTTTTTTTTTTTTTATAAGTGTTGTGTTCTTGAATTTGATTAGTGTTGTTCTTTAAAGGGAAATAAAGAAGGTAATTTTAAAGAACTATAAATATTTATATATTAAATTAATAAAAAAAATTATTTTTATAAGATGTTGAATTTTTTTTTAAATATTTTAAATAATTTTCTTTGAATGATAATAAGTACAAATTATAAAGAAAAAAAAAATTTAATTAGGTCAACTCGTGAATTGACCCATGACTCATGATGGACGAATTATCTTTATAAGATGTTGAATTACATTTTTTAATCTTTTGAATAATTTTTTTGGATGATAATAAGTACAAATTATAAAGAAAAAAAAAATTTAATTAGGTCAACTCGTGAATTGACCCATGACTCATGATGGACGAATTAAGGTTTATTTTTATTGACCCATGACCAATTTTAATCCAATCCATTTTGATTCATTATCCGTTCTGACCCAACCCTAACCCAACCTAATCCGCCTGTTTGCCAGGTCTAATTTGCATTGCTTTTGCAGCCTTCATTTTTCTGCCCTCGTGCCACAGCATCTTTGACTTCCATTTAATGGGTTCTATGCCATCTGATCTCAGCTTTCGTTATATGTACCAGCTGCAGCATTAAATGTAGGAGATGTGAATTTGAGACTAACACTGACATGTTTTAGTTGAATTCATCGGCAAATACATTAATTAGTCTTGCAATGTTTTAATATCATCTGATCTGACACATTCCACGAGATATTTGCATAAAGAAAGACTAATTTAATGTACCAAAAAAAGAGAGACTAATTCAATGGTGGATAGAGAAGAGTTTTCAAAGGAAAAAATTAAAGGGAAGGCAGACAATGGAGAGAATCATTCACCCATTTACTAAATTTTAGCCATTAAACAAAAGCAGAATCCACAATCAAGGGATTGAAGTAATTTAAGGCCAACAAAAGCATCTAAATTTTATTTTCCAACCAATCTTATCAGTAAGAAGCTAGACCACTCCACTCCACTCCACTCCACTCCACTCACACACAGACATGCTGCTTTTGCCTAAAGTCAAGGATGCACGCACCTTTCTTCATGGATTCTGCTTGATTACTCCAAACCACTACTTTTATCTTCTTCCTTTTTTTTTTTTTTTTTTTTTATGAGTTAAATCAACTTATATAACTGTAAATCTTACCTCAATTTTCAGTGACTAATTTTAAAATTTTAATAATTAACGTCACACTTGAATTTTAAAGATAAATAACTTAAATATTAAAATATATATTTAAAAATTAGTTTAAAAATTTCTTCAATTTGTAACAATATATTATATATAATTAAAAAATATAATGTAAAAATATAATAAATAATTATATTTTTAAAAAATATCATTAATTATTTAAGATATGATAATAACGCTACATTAATTAATACTCTTATTAAATGTGTATTTTTCAATTTCTTAATATCATTTGTAGTAGAATTTATGTTTAATCATGTTCATGCATATTACATGAATGCTTCCTGGCTAATCAAATTCTATTCTGTAGATTATGCCACGTGTACGGAGGATTTCTACCCTCCTCGCATTTCATCTCCTATAAATAGCACTCAAGTCCTCCTATGAAGACTCGTCCAGCAATCAACTTCCATTCAAATTCTCTTAAGAGTTCCTCTTTACATACTCTTCTCCTGCCCAAAATGTCTTCATGCGGTGGAAACTGTGGCTGCGGATCCAGCTGCAAGTGCGGCAATGGCTGCGGGTAACTAAATATTCCTTCCTTTTTTGTTTCCGTCTGTCTCACAAGCATTTCAACAAACAGTTTCAATTCAAAGTCATCATTTTACTCTGTTTTTGTTTAAAAGCTAAAAATCTGCTTCTTTCTTTGGAATATTTGCAGCAGCAGCAGCATGTATCCTGACATCACCGAGAAAACCACCACTGAGACCATCATCGCTGGAGTTGCACCAGTGAAGATGTGAGTATATGTTGGTTCCCCTGTTTTGTTTTTCTTTTTTTTTCTTTTTTTTTTTGGGTTCAAAGGGAGAGAAAAACTGAAGTTGGGTTTTTTTGTTTTAGGGTTTATGAGGAAACAGAGATGGGTTCCGTGGCTGAGAACGGATGCAAATGCGGGTCAAACTGCAGCTGCGATCCCTGCAACTGCAAATGAAGAAGATGGGCATGAACATGCCAAGAACAAAGCAGCAGTGTCATGTTATAATTTAAGATATAATTTCTAAAACTATTGTTGTTTAAGAGTCTGTATTGTCTACGACACAGCTTGCTATAAATAAGAGACGGCTAGTTCTGGTCATGAATTGAATTGCTGCTTTGTATTTGAATGAATCTCTAATCTAATACATCTCCTTTGGTTTATATGGCCAATTTCTTCTTCTTGTTTCCAATTTTTAATCGATGAATGATTGAAGGAAAATATTGCTAAAGCAAAAAGGCAAACCAGAGAGACAGAGAAAATAGGGACCTATCTATTTTGGATTTGCTTTATATATTGTCACACAACCTTTTGTGAAAAATATGATGTTCACTGCAATTTTAAAGGTCTCTGGTCGTCTTCATCTTCACCATCATCCAAGACAAAACAGGACACAATAATAGTGTGAGGGATCAATCCCGGACACTGGTTTTGGATGAATGGAACACACAAACTTGGATTGACGGCCAATCGGCCGAGCAATCCCTCTTCCAGTCAACTTTGTCTCTCACATATGACATCTAATGCACCCTCATGCATCTTCATAAAATTACGAAACATTGTAGTGGTTTAAAACTAACCAAAAAAAAAAAATATATATGTAGAACTACCTAAAAGAAATTTGCTTTATAGAAAGCTGTTATTGGGAGCAATAAATACACCCCAAGTA